GACAGGAAACCCAGAATAAAACCACATGCATTTCTCCACCAAAATTGAAGGAGGAGGGCTGGCTACCTCATACCAGATTCCCTAGATCAATTACATCCAGTCAGATCTTCTATTTGCCATCCATAGATCTGAAATGACAGCCAGTATGTTCAGCATTCCCAGGAGGCAAATCACTCCTACATCAAAGCCAAAGATCAAAAGTTTGTCAATAAAAGAATAGTGCAAACTGATGCAAAAAGCTGGGTCATGGTATCTGTCATCCCTAGTACTTCATATCATTTTGACATGACATCATAAAAGGCAAGTTGAGCTTTGATAAATCTCCAGATGGAAGTAGATCCTCAGGTGTCAGAAGATTCTTTAAACCTGTGTCTGTAGCTCCTGCCATGGCTGAATAAATAAAAAAGAGGGTTATATTTTTCCTTTTTTTTTTTTTTCTTTCTTGAAATGAGGAAAACAACAAGTAATTTAACCAGTAAAACTCTGGACTTATAATAAAAGAAAAAACATTAACACTACCGGCAATATTTCATCTGGTATGTCTTAGATTCACACATCTTTATTAGACAGGTTGGTGAATTCAGTCATACTGTCAAAAAATATGCCCAGGTCTCTTTCCCCTTTACGGTTTCTAACCCGTAAGCTTTCACTGATTAGAAGTAGCTATAAATTCTTAATTTCCAGCTTTGTGCTTTGCCTTTCATTCCGTCTCTAATACTCAGTACAACAAAACTCTTAACACTGTGTATGGGCCACACTTCCACGTTTTTCACATCAGCAAATCCAGCCAGTGCATGGCAGTTCTTGTGTCACGATCGTTAGCAAACACAGTCAAAATAATCCGTTTCCAAAGTTAATCTTCAATTTAACTGCACCTCCTTGGCCCAAAAATTTGCACTCAGCGCCACCTATTGATTCTGTTCTGGTTAAACAGAAGGTAACACCCTGGTTCATTCACCACATGGCACCAAATCATATATACTTTACTGAACAATTTAAAGAATATATATATTATTTTTTTTAATAAGAGTAACACTGGGTGAGACTTCAAAAAAAATTTGATAAATTAGTGTTAAATTTTGCCTCAGTTTCTAATTAGCCCTATTCTGCTTTCCCACAGAAACAAAAATGCAAGTCTGATATGAGATGTCCACATAACTTTTGTCATTTCTTCGCAATACCAGTATCTTAGAGATCCTGGAGCTCTTCTCTACACATCATACTGGCACTAAGGAGTTTTTTGCTGGTGATTTTAAGTCCTTATTAGTAGATCTGCAGCTTGGCATGTCACAATTCCCATTCTGGTGGAAGGGTTATTTTGTATTTCAAGTTAAGATCATCAAGCTCTTAGATTTTGCTTCCTTGTGCTTTGTGGAAATTTCCTTTTCTATATACCCACTCCTGTTGAACATTATTCTCTCTCTCATTTCTATGATGCAAAGTAAGGGACAGCTCAGATCTAGACAGGTATGATATAGAGTTATTTAGGTAAAATTCAAGCTAACAGCAGCTTCCAGATCTTACTTCTAAAAAGCCTTTCCGTGATGCTTTCAGGTCCAGCAGTGCTATTTTACTACCTTTCAGGCACTATCAGTGTAGGTAACCTACTTAGTCCTGTACTGCAGAATAAATGCAAACAAGCAAGTTTTAATTATCAAAGGTTTCCACAATCAATCTATACAACTCTATTAGGAAGAAAAGATGAAGGACTTAGCATTTGGGAGCATTTTGCTCATGTCCTACATGAACTGCTCCCACACGTCTGCATTGTGTTACTATCGCAAATGCGAGTTGACTGAAATCAGAGGAGACAAAACATGTTTATCAATGATAATTACACAGAGAAAATACAAACAAAAATGCATTTTAGTCAGGAAGATTTATTGATTTACTTCTTGACCAGTAATATATATTTGGGGACTATGCATTTCCAGGATTAACTTCAGAAGTCCATGTGTTCTTACCTGTTTCAACCTGTTGGTCCTAGAATTTGCAGACATATTTTATCAAATGCAAGACAAAGCAAAACATTTAACAATTCCTTCCCCGGTTAAAACACTTCATATAAAAAAAAAAAAATAGTTATTCTTTTTTGTGATACCATAGAAAAATTTAGATTAGGAGGAGCCCTACAGAGGTGATGTGCTGCAACCTCCTGGTCCAGCAGGACTGACTTAGAAGTTAGATTGGGTTACTTGGCTGGGACCTTGTCCAGGCAGGGTTTGAAAATTTCAAAAGATGGACATTTCACAACCACTCCAGAGCATTTGATTTCAGTGCTTCACCGCTCATGATTTCTAGCCCTCACATCCACACAGCACATGTAGCTCACATAACCTTACCTTTCTTGACCACTCCTTTTTAACAGGAGGAAACGGCAAGTCATTTTATTCAACTCTTCTATCAGTAACTAGTCAGAAAATTTGCTGCACAGACCTGCTCTTGAGCAGAACTGGCAGCCTTTCCTCTTAATCTGAGGGGCAAACAGACCTCCTGGACTGACTTTGTTCCCCCTGAGGTCCTCGTAAGGACAGCAGAACAAACCTTGCACTTCAGCCAAGAACGGCAACTCTGCTCTGTTCACCTGCCTAAGACAGCATGCACATATATGAATAACTAATAGATTAACCTAATTCTCTGTTCCTCAGTCTCCTAAGAAATTTCCCCGAGAGAACAGAGATGGTTTGATGATCTTGCCCATGATTATACTGTAAGTGGTACTCAAGTTGTCTGTTATCATCTACTCAGCTCTTCAAATTATACGGATGCATCCAAGGGTAATCCTGAAAGGATGGAGAGGTAGCTCATCAGAAGATTCAGCTTTTCATCTCTGAAAAAGAGGAGCAAGAAGCAAGGAATCTTCTTACAAAGATTTTTCTCAACAGAACATCCCCAAGCAGATCAGTGCCAAAGTTTTCACTGATAGAAAGTGGTAATTTTAGCAGAGAGGTTACGGGCTTCCAGTTTAAATACCACTTTCAGCTTCTCACACAGAAAATCCTGTAATAGGAGCTCCTAAATCCTGCTTGGGTTCGGTTTAAAAATGAGTCAGTGAAGCATTTATTTGGAACCTATTTTTTAGTAAGACTGTACAACAACTTAGTGTTCAGCTCTTGTAAGTTACTCAAGCAGGAAACAGCTCGCTGCACAGCTAAGAGCTCACAGCAGAGAAACGTGTCCCACCAGGGGGTAAGGGCAAAGTAGCCGGGGTCGGGCAAGACGCCCTCTGCACCCACAATCTTGCACGAGAGGCAGCAGCACAAAGGCCATAAGCAAGAGCATCACAGAAAATTTTCCTAGCCTTAAGCATAAAGACATACCTATCAACAGTATGAGCGCACACATGGGCTGCTCCCTGAAGGAAAAAAAAAAGCCTCCATTAATGACTTCTTTTTATGTTCCTGCAACAACCCCTCAACAAAAATGCTTATTAAAAAAGCAAATGGTTGGGGGATCGCTAATTGATTTGAGACTGCTCTCCCATAAGCAACATTTTGTCCCGAAACTTTTGAAGCAGCAAACACCGAGAAACGTGACCAGAGCTTTCGGCAGCAATTTTGCACGTTTCAGGTACAAAGATGTTCTACAAGATGCATCCCCATGATCCTTTCACTGAAACACAACTGTAGCCCATTACTTTGGCCAATTATAACAGCAATATATGGCTGATCTTCTAGTAATAATCCTTGGTTAAAAAGTCAAAAATGTTTTTCCCACTAGATCTCTTGCAGACACCGAGCTCTCCATAGGTTTCCTGAAGTGATCTCCTACTGCCAAGAACAAATGAAGGACTTCTGTCATCCAAAACAGGCATCTCCAGGACTGAAACTTAGGCCATCTGTTGGAAATTAAAAAAATCAAACCAAATTTGATATAATAATTTAAAATTAAAAGAAGGCATAATACCATCTAAAGATGGTTTTGGGAAAGGTCAGCTGCAATAGTCTTCTGGCTGTGAACCTGAGGGTCAGTAGATGTTCGGTATTGTGATTCTGACACCATTTTCTGTTGCAGGTGAATTCAACTAAACAACGTGTACCGGGGCTGAATGCTAGAGTTTATTTACAAACCAACAAGAATAGAATTTTTGTTGTGGTTGATCATTTCACATTGGCATCCACTCACCCCTCTCAAAGCATCACATTTGCTAGGATCTCAACTCCCTCCCCAGCAGGGAGGGCTTGCAGCTGGGGTGTGAAGGTCAGGGAGAAAACCATGTCCCTTCGTGCTCTACAGCTACTCACCAGTGTGAGGCAGCATCTGCCAAGGTCCCTGGCCAGACCTTGGCGCTTTTCTCCGCTCATCTTCCTGGGCTCCGGGATCTTTCCTCCAGGCAGAATCTTGACTTTCTTTTCAGGCCTCCCTTCTTTCTAAGGCCACTTCCAAAATCCTTCTGGCACTACATTTACTTTTCAAAATAGTCTACATGCATAAGTACAAGGCAAAATCAGCACCTAATTGGTATCTCTGTTATATATTTCTGAATTGGAGAACTCAGGACATAACTTTGGTTTTAGAAGTTCCTTCCAAAGGCTCAATTTCTGAAATTTTGAATTTGAGTCAGTTATTGACATTTCAGAATCTTCTCAGAGGGTTAAGAGAAATGAACAGAAAAAGACAATGTATGTCCAATCCTTGAGGAGGACGAAAACCGGACAAAGATTTTGAAAGGAGGGACTAAAAAATTATATAGACAGTTAAGGTAACCCAAGGGATCAATTAGTCAGTGTCCTCTTTTAAGAACAGTGTTGGGAACTACCTCCTACTCCTTTGCTCTCTCATATTATCAAGGGATCAAATCCACAACTATGAACCCAACAGCCGTGTTCATTACTCCCTTTACCAACGTCTGCAGAGGGCGTTCACCCACCTTTGAAGCTCATCCTGAAGATGTTTAGCATGAACAATTTAAAGCAGATGTTCAAAGTGTACGTCAGCCAAGGGGATGAGGTCAAGTATTACTTCATCCATTGAATTTCCCATAAAAAGGTACAGAAGAGTGACTGTTCTCCAAAGTTTATTAAAAATCAAAGAATAGAAAACTTTACATAAAAATATGTCAATTTTAGCTTACACATAGTCGTCCACACAAAAAATTTAAACGTGATTTTTTTAAACCTGTAGCACATAACCACAGTGATAGCCAGGCCAATTTATTTGGTTCACCATGACTGAAGTGTTACATGATATCACTTTTCAAATGAATTTTGCTTTAAAATGGACTCTAGTATAAGACACCAACTAAAGCCTTTGAAGGCTCTTTAATGTAGTTATGCTCAATATTGCTAGTGTGTGAAGACTAAGCAGTACAGGCTCATGTAACAGCCCTTAGATATTATTTATGAATCAGCTCACAATTTTTAAAACTTTTTTTTTTTAAATTGTGATGAGTCTGGAGCATTAAGACAAACTTTTTGCAAACAGATATGCACTACTCTACTTTGGAATGTTGCCCTCTCTCCCCTCAAGGACCTGTTTTGTGTTTGACAGATTCAGTAATAACATGAACTACTTCTGCTCCAAAGGCATACAGCGTATTAAAAAGCTTCATGCTTGACACCCCATTTTAATATTCAGATATCAGTTTTAAAACCTTCTATATCTGTACACAGTATAGATGTCCTGTTAACAGGATTCTTCAGCTTCCTCTGCTAGTGGACTTATATAACTGATCTGTAGTTTTCTGTATAGCTTTAGAACTCTCATTTTAAAAAAAAAACGGGCAGTCAGAGGGCATGAGATGTGACCTACTCCCAGGACAACTGTGGTGCTTTAAAAACTCAGGGTTAGGCAGGATGTACATTTTTCAAAAAGTTAAAGACAGTGTTTGTCATGGCAATACACACTTGCATAGTATACCTGTATGCATCTGTAAATTAAGTGCCAGCCACTCATACTGTGTACAACACTGGGCTGTGCTCTCCTGCAATACATTAAAAGATACTTCTCGTAATGCTTAGAGCAGCTGAAGTACTTTTTATATATTTGCTCTTAACAGAACTAATGCATACTGCTATACAGATTCCTTAATGGAATCAACATATTTCCTTTCTCCACATTCCTTAAGCCGGGTACCTCTGTTTAATAATATTGTTTGAACCCAAACATTAACAGGTTACGTTACTAAAATGCATCAAAACGTGTAGCTCACAGCTTTTTAATTTCACATCAGGACTTGAACCAACCTTTTTCCCCTCCCTTTCAAAAGTCTTACTTCTGGTACTACAAACGCTGGATTTGTTGTCTAGTTAAAGGAATAAAATTAAAACTCATTGGTCAGAGCAAGACGACTGATAGAGGCCAGACAATGAGCTAAAAAACACAGGGTCAAAATGCTTTGGAGCTTAATATCTTCTTAAAACCGTAAGCCAAATCGCACTTTCATTGTGAATCAAGAAGCCTCAAATATTACCAAATGTCATGTTTGTAACACTGCTCAGACAACCTGCCAAAACTATGAACCCAACTTAGATAATGCAACCTGGGAAAGGATCTGTAAATTAAAAAAACCTCTTCCCCTTAAATATAACTTATGTGACAATATGAAATTAAATTAAAAATTCCAAGTTATTGCACAAATTATACTTCCAATATTTACAGAGAAAAAAAAATCTGAACTTTGAAACAAAAACAGGAGAGCAGCAAATTTACTTTTATGAATTCCCAACGTGATTTGCTGCAAAGAAAAAAATTCCAAGGGGCTGAAGTTTCATTCACTTCTAAAATAAAAGAAAACAGAACCCACAAAGGAACCGATGTAGCCACAGCAAAAAAAGCCACAGCATTCGTAAATGTCCTTGCAGTTCTATTGTCAGAGCTGCTTCGGCACTGTATGAACCATTGTGGGAAGGCAGAAAACAAATTTCCACATTTAATAAGGCTTCACAGATAAGCACAACTACTTCTTGAAGATGGACTGAACCACCACACAAAGAAACATGCAAAGAAGTCAGCTGCAGATATTTGGCAACACCAATAAAACGATGTGCTGGACGCTGGTCTCCATCCCACAAGTTGAGTGGCACTCACTCAGTTTGTCTGAACAGGGAAGGTCATTTTGGCATCTGCCATTATCTGCTCAGACTAATAGGCAAACTGTCTCTGTGTTTTTTTCTTCTCCACATACTACGATTGTATTGGTGGTGTCCTCGGTTACCAACTGGTTGCCTTATGCCTCCACTGCTGACGGGGCTGTAGCTGTTGCCTTGGTTATGAGTTCCTTTCATGGAAAACTTCATTCCATTGTGCTGCTAAAAAACACAAGATAAGCACTCAGTTTAGGTATACAAATAACTGAAAAAAAGCATATATTAACAGTGGTATTTCCTCAACATAGAAGTCATTCCCACAAAATGGTGCTTGAAGCAGCTGTTTTTTTCATGCTTGTCTAATTTTAGCTGTGCAAGTCCAATGGCACTAACAGCTAAAACACTAAGTGTTTTCTAAAGTAAATGTCCTGCAAATGAAATGGTGTAGATTTCAAAGCATCCTTAAAACCCTTGGATCTCAGTATGAAATACAGTCACTATGCATCACCCTTATAAAAACAGAGACCTTCCAAATTAAATACTAATGATGACAGTCGTGTCTATTTTGGAGGTTCTTAGCAAGAGCATGACTGGGTGAGATCTCAGTAAGACTTTCAGAAACATGGAGAAGCGTAAGGCTGTGATCATATGAGCCAATACATACAAAGCACAAGTCTGCTCCGCTCATAATCTCTCTCAGCTACAGGTAAACTAGCTACAGTTTTTAAGGAGCCTGCAAATCCTACTAATCTATAGGGCCACACGGCTCCTAGATCATACCTCACATCAAACCAAGGCAAAACAATTAAATCATCAAGAACATAAGCATGACGCTTTCTTTGGAGGTAATCTCCAATAACTTGGAAGAGAAACTGCCAAAAAGTTTTAGTGGCAAGCCTAAGTAAATCTACCACACCACAAACTACAACAGGCATCCCTATCACTCAATGGCATACAGTATGTTGGTTTAATGTGTGCGTGCTTAAAATAGAAATGTACTTAAAATAGCTACAAGAGTTTCAGAAGATGAAATTTAAACAGACTTCTCAAATACTTATAACTTCAATGCAAGCAACCTTTTCTGATGTCTGACAGCAATAGCTTAAAGACAGACAACTGACTGCCTTTAACAAAAGCTAATACATCATTTTGTCTACCATAAGTGCATAAACAGGAACAGCCCAAAGCTAACATTCGAGGTAACTGCTTAGATTATAAAATATATGCAGCTACTTTACTAACCTATATTTCCAAACAAGTATGGAGTAGAAAGAAATATCAGAACACCAAGCCATCATTACAATTAGGTGCACACAACCAAAACAGTTATTTTGAAGGCATAATTCACAGAATCACAGAATGATACGGGGTTGGAAGGGACCTCTGGAAACCCGTCTGCCAAAGCAGGTCCACCTAGAACAGGTTGCACAGGAACATATCCAGGCGGGTTTTGAATGTCCCCAGAGATGGACTCCACCACATCTCTGGGCAGCCTTTTCAAGTGTTCTGCCATCCTAAAAGTAAAGAAGTTCCTCCTCATGTTTAGATGGAACTTCCTATGTTCAAGTTTGTGGCCGTTACCTCTTGTCCTGTCACTGGGAACCACTGAAAAAACACTGGCCCCATACTCCAGACACCCACCCTTGAAGTATTTATAAACATTAATAAGATCTCCCTTCAGCCTTTCAGTAAGTTCCATAAGCAACATTCCACTATCAAATTATAATTAGAAGAGACAGTGAGCATACAGGAAAACCAAACAGGTGAAGACTAGTATTGAGGAATAATTAAGGTTAACTGCAAGGTGGTAGAAAACCCTTAAACTGTTTTTTATTTGTAAAGTGTGTCTTACAGCAACCTAATCAACCTTCAACATGCAACTTCTAGACTCTCAAGACAGATGTGCCAAGTGCTATCCTCAGACTACCAGTATTAAAAATCCAAGAACAAACAGGAAAAGAGAATGCAAGTTGAGCTCTCATTCTGAAGAGACACAACTGTCCAAACTTTATTTATTGACATACGTTGTTAAGCATCTACCAGAAGCTATTTATGAAAGTCAACACTGTGAAACTAAAATAAATGCAGAATAGGTTTATCTTTTGGGAAAGTGGTGCTTCATGTAAATATACCATCTTGTCACATTCTTGTGCAGCAAAATTCTTTAGTTCAGTAAGTATACATCTGAATCTCAATTATGTACGCAGACAACATCTACATTAAATGAGGTCAAAATACTAAAAGCAGTCCTTCAACAGTCAAAAAACTAAAACCAGCCAGTCATTACAGTTAGCCTCAACTATGTGCTGAAAAAAGAGACAGAGGAAAACTTTAGTTTTGCTGCTATAGAACCAGAAGACAAGTCTGAGCAACGAGCATATAAATGTCAGCAAGTCTATCCCCTTCAGCTGGAAATGTGAAAAATCTGGCAACTTCATCCTCAATTTGAGGATTCAGGAAAAAAAATACTGGGGGCAGGAAGGCAGGTCACCACAAGATCAGACAAGTGCCACAGCAAGTATGACAGTTAAGCCTATCTACCCATATACTAAAAGGAGTCACATCCCATCCCTGATTTGTTCAAAAGGCAATCAAACTTCCAAAGAATGATTAATAAGCTAACTAGAAAGTGATCTCTAGCTTGCCAAGAAGCACTTCCCGTTTCTTTAGGCCATCAACATAAAGACTGTCCAACTGTCAGAGCAGAATCTGAATCCATCTGTCTTACAACTCTCAGCTGAGAGCAGGTCCATAAGGAAGTTGACTCGGGGACCGTGTAAGTCAGCAATAATGCTTTTATATTTACTTCTTCTCAATTAAATATTGTTTGCTAGTTTGTTTAGATATTTGAGACCATAAGCTTTTAGCATCCTGCATCCTATGCAGTGGCATTTCAGAGCTAAAATAAGCATTATCTGATGATTTTTCAGTTCGTGGAGTAATTAATTTCTTTTCATTCTGATATCTGACTTCCCTATATACTGCTCATGATGACACGGACCTAGATCATATACTGCCTCATTTTCTTCTCCAGGTTAAAGTATCATTCATTCTTCACACAGAAGCAATTCCGTATGTTTGACCACTCTTTATCATCCTTCCCTGTTCTTCCTTCATACATCTTATAACTTTCTTCTGATGTAGGAGGCAAAATTGTACACACTGTTCACAATGGGGAATGTACATGGATTTTTACATTATGTTTTTATTTCTGCTCTTTATTGCTAATAATATCTGAAATTTGGTTTGACACTCAATTCTCAGTAGAAAAATCAAGAAAGCCTTATTAAAGCAGTTTTCTGCAAAACCATCAAAAATCATCAAAACAAGAAACTGTCAGCCCAGGGCCTACCATTCTCTACAAAGTTTAAAATCTCTCTCCCCATCCTCATTGCCTTGAATGGTCCTTCTGTACCCCTTTTCTCAGTTGGCCCTTAAGGAGCTTAACACAAGTAAACTTCACCACACTTCATTCATTGCCTTTCAGACATCAGGCAGCACATGGCTCAGCACAAATTCCTGCAGCACTTTATTGGCGAACTCCATGTGCTACAAAAATTTAAAGTTCTAACTAGTTAATTGTTTATAAAAGAACACACATTTTTCACTTCATTTCTTTCAGAATCTTTGGTAAAAGAAATTTACTTCAAAAGACTGTAACAAACAGCTTTCTCTTGTCCACACGCTTCTGGATATTCATGTGCCCAGGACTCCCATAATCACTGAGAAATGGCACATCTGTAAGCAGATGATGGCTGGAGTGACATCAGATAATCAAAAAAGAAAGCCCTTCATCTGTGATACTACAGATAAATCTTTGTTTTAGATGTTCTGACTTCTTCAGATCTATTTCTCTTGACAGAATAATCTCCTCTGCCATCATAGAGCTATTGATTCAACAACTGATTGATAGAACTGGTTAGGTTTGGGTTTTGGTTTTTTTGACAAGTCTGTTGAACTTGATCCTCTGCAAATAAAAGCTGCTGGATTCTGGAGGGAAAACTAAAAAATTGCATTTAAGACAAGCCATCCGGCAGTGGGTAGGGTGGAATTCTGTATCACATACCAAGTTAAAACAGTTTCCAGATATTTTAACAGAAATATAAGAAAAGGATGTTCCTGGCCTTTACCCCAAACAACAGAAATCTTGTGGAAATCGAAATACCAAGTAATTGTTTGCTAAGGAAACCAAACCTTTATTCTTAAATACTGGCAAATTGACTATACAAAACTGCTGACACTCAAAGACTGTCATTATTCAAAAAGAAAATTTATAGCCAAAACTAAGTCACACTTTGAAATAACACAAGTAACATAACAGAGCTTAAGTCTAAACATAAACAGGGTTTCTGAATTCTGTTGATGTTTGGGTTTTTTGCCTGTTAGCACCTCTTAAGTAAGGAAGAAAAAAAAAAGCAGAGAAACATTAGAAATGAAAATGAAGTATCAGTACTCTAAAAGAAATGAGATAATACATACGGTGCTCAAAAGCTGGTAAGAACCTACAGAGCTAAAGAAAAGGTTTAAAAGGCATAAAGCAGTTTAGAAAGAACACATATTTACTATTTTGTTGTTAAAACTACAGTATTAATGCCCATGATTCAATCTAGTCTGTAGATGACCGAAACTGTAATCAAACTTGTACACCTCAAAATCATTCCATGTGAAATATTACAGAGTAGTACTCAGAATAACTTTAATGTACCATTAACATTTTAAGTATCCTCTTGGATAACTTAATATACATCCTCAAAATATTTCACAAAGTTCTTTTCAATTTATCACCATATTTCCCAAATTCCATATATCACCAAATTCCCTATTTCAGGTTTATAGCAAAAAAAAAAAGTTATAAAGAACTCCTTTTCAAAGGATTTATGTTCACTTTCCCACTTTCTGAGTATAATAACATCGGGAAATACATTAAACCTGCATCTTGCATGTAAGTAAAATTTAACTTCTTGTTCTCTATGACATAAATTCACTGTTTTGTAGAGAAATATGGGAAACAATCAAAGCAACATTTTAGTCATTCCTGCACAAGCAATGGTTCAACCTGGCCTCAATACTTCAAATTAGCTAAGAGGATTCTACAAGATATTTGCACCTGCTAACTGGGCATATTTTTGACCTGCTAATATTTATAAGTGGTTTAGATTTCTAAGCTGAAGTATAGTAAAACCAAAATAAGTTTTTACTCAAGTTGTATAGAACTGGCGATCTGGGGAAATAAGGCCCGAAACATTACAAATATCAAAGACTCTTCCCTTCCTTTTGGGCCCCTTGTTTGGATCTACCAGCTACTTTCAGCTACAACTGGCACAATCTTGAGTCCTGAATAGATTTTATAAGGTGAGCCAAAACTCATTTCTGCTCCTATTAAAATCAAAAAACAGCAACCATGCAACCAGTTATGAGTGCAGCAAAGAAAAGAAAAATCAACATAGAGACTAGAAAGAGCTCAAAAGCAATAAGAGTTTTAGATGTTTCTCATCTACTAACACTAGAGAACTGAAAGACCCAAAGCAACCAGGGAGCAGGTATATCACTCCTTCATATCTTACCTTACTTTCTGCAGTAGCTCTGCCAGTAGCCTGTAACAAAGGGAAGTTTTTGGTTCTCTTCACCTTTAACAACAGGTTAGGCAACCATTAGACTCATCCGTTCAAAAATAAACTAGTATTTGAGAGATCAGAGAGCCTAGTCCCCAGAATGAGTAACTGACAGTAGACTACCATCAATCTGAGCATATTTTGAACTACCTTATGGTAAAGAGAGCCAAATCTGACACACAAAATAAGTACCCTTGTTGATCTTGTCATCGATCAAGTTTCAAAAATGAGGGGCAAGAGTCAAAACAACACTACCAGAAGACAGAACTCATACTGAAACTCTGCTACTGTTGTGACATGGGCCATGAAGTGTTATCTGCGTACTTGTCATTAAGGAGAACAAGAGATAATAGCTTCTCTAGCATAAAGCTGACAATTTTAGACCTTAAAGAGAAATCTTACCCCACTGAGATTTCTCACCTTCCTATTTGGAACAAAAAAAGTGTTATTACAGTGAGCAGACCCAAAACATTTTCCAAATGATGAGCTGATATCAATATAGTGCATGTGAAAAATCAGTAGAGGAAATGCATATGTGAGTATTCAAATCATTCTCAGGGAACAACAATCTGATTACAGTCACATTGGAAGATAAAGGTATTACGCAAACAAAAAAAAAACCAGGTGTAACTGCTACATTTCCATAAATAAACTCGCCATAAATAAAAGATAGACTTATGTTCCTAGAAAATTCTATTTAGATTGTGTGTCAAAAAGCATTCATGAAACAACCATCAAGGTGGCCAGAGACTTTCATACAGTCATATAAACATCTAGGCTGGATGCTTTTATATGGAGACCTTCGGAGGTCTCCATAGAAGGACCTCTGGGGACCTTCTGTTGTAAGCAGTCAGATCTGGTTATCTAGGGTCTAGTCAAGCTGAGTTCAGTTTCCATACACAGAAGGTTATCACCACATAAAGACTGTCCATACAAATATATGACAATCTAAGATGAAAAATAACTTGAGTACTGCTTTCAGCTGAATAGCCTCCAAAACTCAGATTAGTTTTCTTTTCTCCAGTCATAAATCATCATCTTTTCCTAATTTTAGATGTATTAAATCAAAACAAAACAGTGCTCTGTCATACACAGAAGATGGGAGTCTGACATTTAGAATCGAAACTGTTTCTGAAGTTAACACTAGTGTCCTTCTTCCTTTGCCTAAGAAAATGCATGGACACCAAAAAAGTATTCCACCCTAAATGAGAGCACTCTAAATAAAACATAAGTAAAATGCCATTTGTTGACTGAAGAAACCTTCAGCACCTAAGCAGCTTAATAATGTCACTGAAGAAACAAATCAGGTCACTTGATTGAAGTTAACATACTTGAAACTCTGAAGAATCACACTATACACTAAGGAAATTTAGCACATTTGTACATCTGAGTAGTTAATGACACCTGCATTCTCAGAAATATTTGGTAAAGCGGACTAGAGTTCAGTCTTGACGTGTTAAAATGTATCTTTACAAATGTATCTTTCATGGAAGTGAACTACACATCACTGCTTGCACTCACGTAAAAAATACATTTTTCACTCAAGCCCCTGACCCATGTTATTTTAGTTGCCAATGCTACTAACTTTTGAGGAATCATTCCAGCCATACTAACAGCATCAGCATGACCAGTGAGACTAAGCAACACCATTAACAATGGTTCTGGGTAAGAGTAAACTGAAACAAAGCATTTCAGCCATTGAAGTGCCTGTAAAGCAATATAAACAAGCAGTTTATAAGTTTAAGTGTCTGGCCTAATATGGCCAAACACAGAAGAATCTGAAAAACAAACTACTTCTACAAGTTTCTCTAAGAGTTATTTAGACTGTGGTATTTCAGTGCTGACATTAAGGTGTCATTTACCAGCTGTCTTCTGTGCACCACAACTGAGCCAGTGAATGCTGCTATGAAATTTTCAATTAACATACTCATGATCAGACATCACTCATCTAAAGGGTCTTCAGTGAAGGTTTCCTTTGACACATAGGAAGCCAGCACAGCAGAAGGACTGGTACTTACTGGCTTTAGATACTTTTGACTCAAAAGAACAGCCTTTGAGGGGAAAAAAAACAACCAAACACACAAACAAGAAACCCCACAAAGTAAGAGTTCTTCTGACCTAAGCAACATGAAGTTTCTTCGGTCTTCACTGGTGACGAAGTGACCAGCAATCCAAGGAAGAACGAACTGAACTCATTTCAAACTCGGAATAACAAGGAAAGTAGTCCTTTCTTCTCCATGGGAAGTCACCAAACAATTTCTGCCCCCTCCATTCATCTGGACAGCATGCCAATATCTGTTTTTCTGCTTATTTCAGTGGGCAGCACTGATTCATAAACTGTTCTGATCTCCCAAGTGAAATTTCAAACTGCTTGTCAGCAAAGCAGAAGAATAATTACCTTGGAAAAATGATGATGATGATCCAAAAAAGCACAGACCTGTATCAGGAGCGTAATTAGTCCCTGAACTATCTGGAAATGCTCCAATTAATTATACAGTATGTAAATAGAATTTATAATCACACCAAAGCTGTTTAAAAAAAGAAGTATTAGGAAGTTCTAATGCAGAGAATTTGCCTAGAAGGCTGCAAGTTGTTGAAAATACAGTTAGTGCTCTTGACATTGGCACCTCCTGCTTTTGTGGGTAATACTGGACACCAAGGTACAGCTTCCAAGCTGCTCTGAGACACAGAGAGTTGCCAGGGAAAAGGCTGAACACAACATGCAGACAGATAAATCCCTTTCAAAGACTTTTTGAAAATGAAAGAACACTTGCTGTTAAGAAAAAGGCTTGCACATGTTCAAGTCTCTCAGGGTAAGAGTCCTCTGAGCTAGTAAAATGTGCACATAATAGTTATAAACTAGCATGATCTTAAGTTATATTAACTGCAAAAAGAAAGCCATCTACCTAATTAGTTCAGTCATGGTCCAGAAAGTCGCAAATTAGAAGGAGTAGAATGACTTCATTTCTGGGTAGAATGACTTCATTTCCCACTTCTGGCTTGGTCATAATCCTTATCAAAAGCAAATGTTTCTACCTAACAATACATAAGCTTTTGGTAAATTCAATGCAGTAAAAGCATCAACCCATTTCTGAACTGTAGATAGCAAGAAATTCCTCTGATTTAAAGTGAATCCCAAAGGCACATCTTTGTCAAGCTAAAGCCACAGAAAAATTACCCATGTTAAAGATAAAGTACTGCACAAACTACTAAGAGAACAGTTAACAAGTATTGGAAAGGACAGCCAAGTAGCAGAAAGCCAGAAAAACTGCTACAAAGCAGTTGGTTTTACAAGATTCAAAATTCCATCAGAGATCCAAAATTCATGCAAAACATTGCCTTTTCACAACTGAGCCCAAAACTCTGGCTGCCAACTTGTTTTGTACTAACAACTGCATGCCACAGAGCTGGAATCTTTTTTTGTGTAATTTTGATGAAGTTAAACTCCAGGGTACCTCTTCAGAAAAGAAAAAGTTGTTAAGGAAAAACTAGAGTAAGCTTGCATTTTAGATAAAGTTTAGCTTAAAACAGCTCTCCAGTTTTATTTTAAGCTGCAAAAGTTTCAGACTGTACACTAGCATGTGAATATTCAATTGCAGACACTAAAATAGCAATATATTCTATTAGCTTTTCACTAATAGAAAACATTTCCTGTGCAGATAAGCTGGTTTTGCCTAGGTAAGATTCAGCAGCAGGGGAGGACAGTTAAAGGTGGGGAAGAATTTGTGTAATGAGATTAAAACAAAAGGCACACCTCAAGGGACAAGTGGGGCTTGGCAGATGGCTGAGGATTGCAGAGGTAGCTGGGAAGGGCATGTGATGACAGCTTTCAAAGATGGTCCCCCATCTGTGTTAACCTGCCTGCAAGGAAACAGTGGAACACCTGTGGTACGCAAAGGGAAAGCAGCCTGGTCTAAATGAAAAAGGGTGAAAAATATTTCAGTGAAGTGCCTAAAACAAGCACTTTTGTTGTACTGCAGAATTTGAGCATCAAGCTGTAACTTTCCCTAACTCAATGCTGACGTTACTGTCCAGATGAAAATTCTTCATTATTCAAAGTTTCAATGTTTAAAGCATCATCTGATTATTTTTTTTTATTCTGTAGTAAGTGGCAGTTACCATCTTTAGACGTATAAAATCAACTCACAGGCTAAATGAAAAGTATTCTCTGACATACGAGCCTCAAAGTGTTTTGATCAGCAGCACAAAGTCCAGCTGGAGGTCAGCAGCTAGTGTTATACCCTATATACTAGGGTCAATACTAGTTAACACCTCCACTAATGACCTGGATTATGGGAGACCCTCAGCAAGGTTGCAGATTATACAAAATTGGAAGGAGTGGCTGATACATAAGATGGTTGTGCTGCCATAAAGAGAGACCTCATCAGGCTGGAAAAATGGGCTGACAAGAATCCCATGAAGTCTGCAAAAGGGAAATGCTAAACTCCCCCCTTGGGAAGGAACAATCCCACACACCAGTACATACTGGGCACTGATCAGATGGAAAGCAGCATAAAATGACCAGGGATTCCTGGTGGACAAATGGAACATGAGCCAGCAACATGCCCTTGCATTAAGGAAGGCCAAGAGCATCCTAGGCTACATTAGGAAGAGTATCTCTAGCAGACCAAGGGAAGTGATCATCTCCCTTCTACTCAGCACTGGTGAGGCCACGCATGGAGTCTGGAATCAGGTCCGGGTCCCCAGTAACAGAAAGACATGGACATACAGGAGTGAGTTCAATACAGGTCCATGAAGATAAATAAGGAACTGAAGCATTTGTCATACAATAAAATTATGACAGAACTCAGACTACTTAATCTCAATAAGAGAAAGCCCAGAAAGGATCCTATTGATGGGTCTAACTAATGACAGGGTGGAAAGAAGATGAAGCCAGACTCTTCTCATTGGTGCCCAGTAAAAGGACAAGAAGTAAAAGGAATAAGCTGAAATACAGAAAACACAATTTAAGAAAACAACCTTTTTTACTGGAACAAGTTGCCCAGAGTCGTAGTGGAGTCTCCATCCTTGGAGACACTCAAACCCTGACAGGACAAAGCCTTGAGCAATCTACTGTAGCTGAACCTGTCTTGGACAGGAGGGTTGGACTAGGTGACTTCCAGAGGCCCCCTCCAACCTCAACTATTCTGTGATTCTGCAAAATGCTTGAACAATCTCAAAGCAGAAACTGACGCAAATACATCTTGCATCATGCCCAAAGTACCAAGGAAGTGCTGAATCAAACAAGACAAGGTTATTAAATTAAAAAATATCCTGGCCCTAGACTCTGAAGACTGTTACAGAAGGATGAAAACATTGTAAGAACTTGACCAAAACGAGGTATCAAAGAAACCAGCTCATTATTTTGTTATCACAGGCAACCTACAATCCACACGTGCACTAAAGCTCATGTGAGGCAGCTCTTTGAGTAACAGTTTTAATAATCAAGAATGAAGAATATTTACCTACAGATAGATGCACTGAGGTTGTAATAAAAACTGAGCATTTTTATTCCCCTTATACTAGAACAGATACATTAGCTAAAACACTTCAGGTTAGTTGAGTAACATACAGTCTCCCTGCATATTCACCTACCAGCACATTTAAGCACACATTTAATATTTTGGTAAGAACTATTGACACATGCCCAGAATTAATTTTCTGTTCTCCATCTTTAAAATGTGCTACAGAAAGTTACAAGTGTAGTCAGATCTGTTCTAATAATTCAAAATCAAGACAACTAAACGAGCTGAGACAGGAGGGTACTATTTCTTAAAAACTAGCTTACAGATGCACCACCTACATGAAGTTTCTACTTTAAGAACAGGAAGTTAAATAGCCTAAAGATCTGCAAATATCCCCCTGGTTAGGCACCAGGAGTCTCAAATACAACTTAAGGAGTCAAACACCTGATACCCTCCCTTCAACTGACTCCTAGGTGTCAATGTGCTGTGGAAGGGCTCTTATTTTCAGAGATGCATCTCAATCAGCAAACCCTTTCCCCCCCATTCTTCTCCCCACACTTCTGACACAGCAGATAAATATTTTTATGATTACATGAAGTTTAGCACATGCTATATGAAGCTTATCTTCAGAGGTTTTTTAGACTGACAGCACAGCGCAAATGACCTACACTTCCGATTTGATCACTTTCTCATGAAAGAGTTGCTCCATTCAGTTGGCTCATACCTGATTACTGGCGGCCATTATCAAGGTTCTCGTAGGCGTAGATTGGGGTTTACCACTTGGCATAGGCAATGCTGGTGGTAAACTGGCCATAAGCTGAGTCGGTGCTTGCAGACTGAACTGGTAAACATTAGGAGCTGTGCAAGGTGGTGTATCAGAATCCTTTTGGCAGAGAAAAAGGGGAAAAGAAAAGCAACTTTACAGAAAGTACAGTATATACAGGCTATGCATGTGAAAATGCACCCAAATATCAACTTGTGAATACTGTAAAATTTAATTATTTTTTTTCAATAGTAAAAAAAATAAAACACAAGCCATCACGTTTATTTTATATATTGAGCAAAAGCTTAATTGAACCTGCACCAAGGAGATAACGTCAATTGGTCTATCACAGGTCAGTTCCAGTCAGCACAACCTAAAGCCAAACTTGTATCTCTACTAAATTCGAATTAAAAGATGGGAACTACGGTTGGGGGGAAAAAAATGGAACAAGAACAGCGACACTGTAAGTGATACATGGGCTAGAATTTTAGGTGCCATGACAGAATCAGTCCTCTGAACTGCGTTCTGGGTTGTACTTATCTGTATAGCAAAGTTACTCACTGTAATTGTTATAGTCTTGTCCCATTCTACCCAACAGCAAAGTTACAGTTCCACCTACCAAGAAACAAGGAGACAGTCTGCCAGTCAGGACTAGTATATGTGCACCAGTCATCTGTTTCACTGACAGGAGTACTGCTCCCCTCGCTTTCCATCAGAAATCTGCTGCTTTTTTACCTCACCCTTAACTCCAAAGTAATCTGAACTCCCAAACAATGGGAAAAAAACTATTCTTCATCCCAAACAACTAGTGTTTTTTCCATTCCCATCTATTTGGCTGAAAGTATAGCAAGAGATGGGGATTGGCCAATTAGTAGTTTAGGAGTTACAAAATTAAAAGACAGTGTTGGCTCAGAGCATCAAGGATCTTTACTGTTAGAGTAATTAATGAAATATTCTATTGCTCTTTCTCTAAAGATGACTAAAGGCCTGGAAACAAAAACTCTTTACTTAAACCAAGCAAACTTTAAATAAACTTCCAGCACTACAACTTGCCCTCACGTGACCTTGCTTTCCAAATTGGATTCTTCAGTTAGGAAGAATCCTTAAAAAAACATTTTCAAGAACAGAAACAAGGACATATTTTAAAGCTTTTCTTGGGGAAAGGTGAGGGTCATTTGAGAGAGACTGACAGTTGTGAATACTGAGAAACATAAGCAATGAATGAAAGCAAAACTTGCATCCCGGCTGAAGTGAATACCACAGTAGAAACAGCCCTCAATAAAACTGTCAGCTATTATAACAATCACTCCTTTATTGGTCCATATGAAACTGTGTTTACTAAAAAATAAGTTCTAGACAGAAAGGAGCTGCTCTCTTACTAGTTCAACTAGTGGTAACAGTTACAGCATGCCTTTGTGAAGCAGTTTCAGATACTTGCATCGTGAATTCACCAGAGACAGACCATACTCCTAACAAGAACCTGTGCAGAAATTTAAGTCTTATTTATGAGATCAGATATTTACCGTTTAATAAGTATGTTCACAGTGGGCAACCACATGCTGCAGCAGTGATCAAAAAATTAAGCTTAGTTGTATGCACACACAAAGCCAACTGCCTGGATGACGTGGCATTTTTCTCCTTTGCCCAATCCTACATTAGCCAAGGGAACAGGTTAAGGTCTCTACAAAGATGAAGCTGATACATTCTTAACTAAGTCTCTTCTAAGTAGGTGGTAGAGTCAGGTACAGGGGCAAGAATTTGGATTTCTAAGCTGAAGTTTCTTTAGATGCTATTGGTCATGGTATTATAAAAAGCTTATAAAAAGAGGGAAAAATAAAGAGGGGACAGTCATGTTTGAACAGACAACTTCTGAGCACACTCACAAGTAACCATGAGCAGGCAGATGGGAGGGAAAAGGAGATCTTACTGTCTATCCAAACCAATGTGTTTATCTTCTGTGATACAACCTTCACAAATTCGACCAAAGAATACTTTTGGTCTCTCCACTCAAAGAATCTCCCCTTTTTCTTCTGCTTAGATACAGTTAGAACCCCAAAGATTCACATACCAAACCTAGACAGGATAATTCCCATTTATAAGACTTCTAAAGGGTTTTGTGCAACAAAAAGTTAACTCCAGTATGGAAGCAGCAGCAGACGGAAGAGAAAAAGGAGTCATATGGTTTAACTGAGACTTGCTAAATTTCAGCACGAGGAAGCTTGTGTTTCTTTATTTTCATTTTGTAATATGATTGTTCTTCTGTCTCAGTGTTATTTACTGATACAGGTCTCATAAGAGTAGACTGTATCCTTCTTCTGAGGCAATTCTGCATTGCTTACAGGACCACTGTACGGAGTCTATACACTGACTTCTCACCAGCACCAAACTCCTGTTGTGAAGGAGAGTATCACCTTTCTTCCTCAAACTGAAAGGTTAACCTCAGCGATCAGAAAGCTCAGGCTAATGTGAACAAAACTGATTTTCCACAAGCACTGCCTACACTGAGGGATTAAGTCTTACTCGGTCTTCTAGACAGCATTCTCAAGTGTAATGTGCAAACTTGAAGCATTACAGAAGCTCAGAAGACCTACAAGTAAGAAAATGCATACAGGTAAATACCCTGACACTTTAGGTCCCTGTCTGGAAGACAAAAGCTCTGACCCTTACTGGGATAAGGGCTACAAAGGTCACATTGTAAAAAGATAAATGTAAAATAAAGGGGTAAGGTCCCTCAATTGATTTCAGCAATAATTTAGAGATAAAGCTACAATGACTGCACCAAGAGTCAAGGTAAGTTCCTGATACCTTGAATACTACTACTATGAATGCCAGAGTCCCTCATCCTGCAAGGAAAATGTTTTCTAAAGAGATGCTTTTGGAAACAAAAAGAGACTGCCAGATGCAGTCTGGGAAGTTTCTATTTTAAAACATACTCATACTCTTTAAACCAGTTTCAACTTCCTGCATAAGAACTTAGTACCTAAACGGACAAATTCTACTATTCATAGCCTTGATTACTGAAGACTTTTTAATTTGTCTTAATGTTGGAAAGTATGGAAGAGACCTAGAAACTCAAGTATTACTGATGGACTCTCATCTAACTCCAAATTTTGCTTTAGAAATGGGATCCCCTGACTTTGTCCAGTCAGAAACAGTGAAATACTGCAGTCATATGAAAAATGAAGATCTGAAGCAATCTTACAATCCAAACTTCTGTTTCTAACATCAGAAGAGAACAAAAGATCCTTTACTGCTCTGCAAAATGCACCTCCCATTATAATAAGTCCCACAACTTCATCAGCAAGAGAATATTTACTTGCCAGAAGCTCCTTATTAACTACATCTGGCTGTAAGAGCTTATTTCAATTCCATTAATAACTCCAGGCTTAAGATACAAGGTAAACTGTACTGGTGCATTTATCCATCAAGACAATAGTTGAGTTTCCAATAATTTAATGAGTACTCAACTATACTCACAACTTCCTTTCCATGATTCTAAATGCATGAAAAACTGGCAACACCTTCTTTGCTTCATGATGTAGTGAGTTGAGAAGTTTCAGCTGACTGACAATAGCTATCATTTTAGAGCTTTCAGTTTCCAAGACAATATTTTTTTTAAAAAGCTGGAGTGGCCTAAGAAGATTAATTCATGATCCCAGTCCATTTAAGTTTTGGCCCAGTGGTAGAAGAGTTTAACTATCTTAGAAATCAGTATTCAGAAATCAAAACTTAAACGACAGAATGCAAGATTCCTGCTAACGTGACAGATTTGGGTTCTTACACTCCCCCTACCTGCCAAGAATTAACTACAGAGGTCTTGGCAATAAGGTTCTTACTGTTTCTATTCTCCAATCTTCTCCCGCTAATTGAACTTTTTACTTTTTCCTCTTTCCCACAACATTCAGGAGCTGGAAGCTGTGAGAAAACAATGACCTCTTCAGTAAAAATTGTGGTCGATCTCTGAAAGCAAAGAACTGAAAACAGTGAGAAAATTGGTGTTTATATTTAACATTTTAAACCATACAGACTTTTTTCCTGTGCTCCTTTCTTACAATTAAAGTTATTTAACAGGTAACTGCTGCCAGTCTTACTCCTTTTGCCTCTTTTCCCATTCTGTCCTTCTTCATTACACCTGCATTAGGATTTGGCATTATTATGAGCCAATTCACAGAGGCAAACCACAGAAACAGTAATCCACTGTTTACTATCTTCATCTTCTGAATCAGCTCACCACAGGATCAGCTGAACACCAGTACAGAAAAACAGGAGTAGCTAGTAAACAGAAACATCCCTAGCAATAACACCCAACTACTGGATCGGCTTAGTAAAACCGTACAGCCACACTCCTCAGAACATAAAGCAACACTGGAAAACTTCTGATATTTTGTAATTTGGGGCAATGTGCCAGAACTTCTAGGCATGCTCTTGCTTGAATGGTTTTAGCCTCAGCATACTTAACTCTGCTTGATAAAGCAACACGCTTCCAAGGTGATTTCGTGGATTACACCCCTCTATCTCCTTTCTTCCACATCAGCTTGTGCCATTTCCCTTTTTGGTAGGTGGAACCATAACTTAAACTATGGTGTAAATAAAATAGAATTGAGATGAACAACATTTCTACTTCTGTGGGAGGTCACGGGGTAGAGAATTTGCATCAATATGGTTGCAACATCTCTATGTGCCAGCCTATAAACAATACAAAACAGTCTTGAATAAGATGCAATTGGTTGATTTTTCTGCCTTTAGGTCAGCTGCATTACAAAAGGAAAATGTCTTGGTCATTGTGCTTGCAGGAGGGGAAAAGTGGAAGAAGATATATAGAATACACAAGCAAACTGAAAAATATGTATCCTCCAAAAGCACTAGTGTTTGTTTTACAGAAAGAAAACTAAAGTGTAATCTAATTAGTATCTACCAAGATTAAACACAAGCACAGTACACTCCTTTAACCTCATTATATCCTGCGTGCCTAGCTATAGGCTTATTCCATGTTTTATCAATACTCACTGCATTTCAGATAAGCTATCTTCAATAAAAAAAGGTCCCAGAAATGTGTCATTTCAAATTTCCTTTGTTATCTCTAATAGTTTCATTTCATAGGCTTTCAATTGGACTGTATT